CCACCGGCAATTAAACTGTTGAACTCTTCACTGAGTGGGAGGCGTTAAAGGCGCAGTAACCCTGCAATAATGCCGTGCAATAACCACAATCTCAAATTCCATTTACTAATGGTATTGCTATATACAGTAGGCATAATTGCACAACAGCACTCGTGTCGATCCGCTCATATCTCGATCGGATTTCCCCCTTTAAAAATAACTAAAAAACAATGTTTTCCAGTTCCAACAATTTGTTCCAGCGTTATTAGAATAATATAATATTTTATATTTTTGTTATAAATTTAGATACACAGTTTCATCATTCACACAGATTTGATATTCATTAACATGCGGCTCAGGCAAGTTAGCATGGGTCTGGCAGATTATTGGACAATATTAAATCCCACAATATGACGAATTGTGAAGCCAGAACTTAGCAGAACAGCTAGTTAGATCAACTAGTTAGATGATCTAACTAGCTCATCAATCATCAATCACAATAGTTTATTGTTAAAAGTCATAAATCTTCATATGTAGTCCTTTGTTAGCTTTTGACCATCAGGGAATTAACCAGATAACTAATAGTTTTTTTTTTACTAAAAGCAAACAAAATTGTTAGCTTGGAAAGCCGTAGCTGGCTTAGAAAGCAATTTTGCTTATTTAAGGTTTGAAGAAACCTGTTCAATTTTGTACAAAAATTATAATCAATAATTGTATTGTACTTAACTAAAGAGTTTAAGCCGAATGAAACAGTAACATAGAACAGATATCAACGTGTCTTTGTACTGTCAGCTGTCAGCTATTGTTTCACTGAATTAAAATTGTTAAATCAACAAATCATATCTTAAGTTAAGTAAATCATGAAATGTGATACAAGCATTTGGTTTAATTGTTTTCTGTTTAATTTTTTTTTTTCAACCATTAAAGACATCAGACACTTTTTTCATGTTTGAGCCACAGAGGGAACAAGCTCCTCCTTTAGCCCCCTTCTCTCCATAAACCTTAGGAGATGACGTGAGGAGCAACAGGAAGAGGTGAATCTACATGAACATGTCATCAAATCCAGGAGGAGGAAGATGATCAGGGTCTGGACTGAAAAAGAAGAAGAAAAAAAGTTTGATTTTAATCATCTGAACGAGACAATGATACCGATGGTTACTGATGTTACCGATGTTGTTACTAATGCTGTTATTGATGTTGTTGCGGATGATGTTACTGTTGTTACTGATGTTGTTACTGATACTGTGACCGATGTTGTCACTAATGTTGTTACTGATGCTGTTATCGTTGTTACAGATGATGTTACTGATATTGTGACTGAAGAGTCACTAATGTTGTTACTGATGCTGTTGCTGATACTGTGACTGAAGAGTCACTAATGTTATTACTAATGCTGTTACTGATACTGTGACCGAAGTTACTGTGATTGAAGTTGTCACTAATGTTGCTGATACTGTGACTGAAGAGTCACTAATGTTATTACTAATGCTGTTACTGATACTGTGACCGAAGTTGTCACTAATGTTGTTACTGATACTGTGATTGAAGTTGTCACTAATGTTGTTACTGATACTGTGATTGAAGTTGCCACTAATGTTACTCATGCTGTTACTGATACTGTGACCGATGTTGTCACTAATGTTATTACTGATGCTGTTATCGTTGTTACAGATGATGTTACTGATATTGTGACTGAAGAGTCACTAATGTTGTTACTGATGCTGTTGCTGATACTGTGACTGAAGAGTCACTAATGTTATTACTAATGCTGTTACTGATACTGTGACCGATGTTGTCACTAATGTTATTACTGATGCTGTTATCGTTGTTATAGATGATGTTACTGATATTGTGACTGAAGAGTCACTAATGTTGTTACTGATGCTGTTATCGTTGTTACAGATGATGTTACTGATATTGTGACTGAAGAGTCACTAATGTTGTTACTGATGCTGTTATCGTTGTTACAGATGATGTTACTGATACTGTGACTAATGTTATCACTAATGTTGTTACTGATACTGTGATTGAAGTTGCCACTAATGTTACTCATGCTGTTACTGATACTGTGACCGATGTTGTCACTAATGTTATTACTGATGCTGTTATCGTTGTTACAGATGATGTTACTGATACTGTGACTGATGTTATCACTAATGTTGTTACTGATACTGTGATTGAAGTTGTCACTAATGTTGTTACTGATGCTGTTGCTGATACTGTGACTGAAGAGTCACTAATGTTATTACTAATGCTGTTACTGATACTGTGACCGATGCTGTTAGTATTGCTACTAATGCTGTTTCTGATGTTGTTACAGATGACGTTACTGATGTTACTGATTTGGTTATTGCTGTATTGATACTGTTACTGATGCTGTTACTAATATTACTAATGCTGGTATTGACGCCGATGTTACTGATGTTGTCACTGATGTTACTGATACTGTTACTGATGTTGTTACAATCTTACTGATACTGTTACTGATACTGCAGCTGATGTGTTAATGATTGAGTGACTGTTGTTGTTACTAATCTTACTGATGTTGTTACGGATGCTATTCCCTATGTTTCTGATGGAGTTACTGATGTTACTAATGCTGTTGCTGACACTTTTACTGATGTTGTTACTGTTGCAGTTACTGTTCTTACTGATACTGTTACTGATGGTGTTACTGATCTTACTGATGCCGTTACTGATCTTACTGATACTGTTACTGATGTTACTAGTGCTGTTTCTGATGCTGTTACTGATGTTATTGATGCTGTTACTGATGTTATTGATGCTTTACTGATGTTCCTGACGCTGTTACTCACACTGTTACTGTTGTTACTGATGTTGTTACTGATGTTAGTAATGCTGTTTCTGGTGATATTATTGATGTTACTGATGTTGTTACTGATGCAGCTTGCCCTCTTTTACTCTCAATCTCTCTGCGTTTCTCACCCGCCTCGTCCAATGGGTCCAAATGGGTCGAATCGAGCTCCAGGGGGAACAGCTCCAGGTGGAAGAACATCAGGAATTCCCCTGGTTGGATCAAAACCAGGGCCACGAAATCCAGACCTCATCGGGTCCATAATCATCCCACCACCACTACGAGACCTGAAGTAGGAGACACCAAATCTAGACTCTTTCTGGAATGACCTTAAACATTTCTAACAAACCACGAGTTGGGAAGGCCGTGCCCATATTAACTTCAAAGGTATTTTTGTCTTTGTGGAGCTAACTTTTAGTTAGTCCCTCTTATCGCTTAGGTCAATGTTATTTTTTTGTTGTTTTGTCAGAATAGTCATATGATCAGGCAGATGTATATTCGACACATTTGTGTCAAGACAGGACAGGAATCCAGAAAACATATTGATATGATGGCTTATTGGTTCTCACTGGATAATTTTTATGTATCTGAAATACATACAGAACTGTAGTACATTTACAGTGTACTCGGTGCTTACTGTGCAGAAGCAGTGTTTTCTCTTGTTTAAAAACATGAAACTGGAGAGAAAAATATCATATATATATATATATTATCAACTGGCCAATCACTGCTGTTCCTTGTCATTTTTATAACTTTTATTTTTGCTTTACACACTTTTATTTGCTTCTTATGTGTGTTTTTTTTTATACTTTTCTCACCCAAAAGGATTCAGATCACTTCCTCCTCCAGCTAATGGAGGGACCCGTGGGTGGGGCCTAACACAAAATGAAAAAAATACATTTTACCGTTTAATACTTGATTTGTTCCAAAATCAGAAGATGTGACCTAAAGGCTTTGACCTAGACACAGAGGATGCGGTCCAGGTGCTCAGACCACACTGACCAGTGAGGATGCGTTCCAGGATGTGGATGTCTAATAGGAACACCGAGTGGATCCTCGCCTTCTCCTCCCCGCTGTCTCCTCCTCATCTGCTCTTCCTCCTCCTGATGATCCTCCCGCTGACTCCGCCCCCTATGTGTGGGCCTGGTCTGTGAGGTCAGCAGCTGGCTTTTTACTTTTCTGGACAAACTGTCTACGTCTTTGAAAACACTGAGAGGGGGGCGGGGGGAACAATGATGCCAACACAGACATATTTTTTTAAACTTATTTTTAACATTAGTATTAATGTTAATAATGTAAATAAATCAACTCCACCAACCGTTCAACACTGACCTGTCAAAGGTGTGCAGGTGGTCAATGTCCACGTGATCAAGGACGTTTACGGTCAGGTCTGACAACTGATGTGTGTTCAGGTTCTAAACACACACACACACACACATTATAAAAAATATGAATAATAACAACATTAATATTAAATATAAATAATAATATAAAATGATGTTCTTAATTAACTATCAGCTCCTGTTTATGTTTTTTTTATGTTGTTTTACTGAAGGATCAGACTGAGGTGTCACCAATGCTGCTGCTTTCTGTTAAAGCAGTGTGTGTGAGTGTGTGTTACCATCAGGTTGAAGATGAGCGTGGAGTCCACAGTCACACCTTTCAGCAGCAGCTTCTGGTCTGCGCTGGGCTTTTTCTCCTGGTATCTCAGGGTGTAGACGTCTTTGTTGCTACTCCAGTCTGGAGGCAGCAGCTCCGACTTCTTATCTGTGGCTCTGGGCTGGAGGGGAACAAGGAGAACAAGTCAAACCTAATTCAACTAATTTTTTTCTGTTGTCTGTGGGACAATCAAACATCTCTTTACATCTTTTAAGCTGCAACTAACAAATGACTCTTCCCTTCAATGACCCTGTTACCATCAACTGATAATTTCATTCCTCAAGTTATGTTGTTTGCACCCCAGAAACACTTTCAGCTGCACACGTCAGTGCGGGAGGGATTTGCAGTGTCGGAAAACAAGGAAAACTAGAGGATTTTAAATTTCACAGAGTGAAAAGAAAATGTGTCTTTATTTTAATGTGTTCTCACTCGTTCCCTTTGTAAAATAATATAAATAATATAAATAATATAATATAAATATAATATAAATATAAATATATAAATATAT